ATAGTTTTCAACTGATTGGGTCAGGCCCACCACATTGTGTGGCGTCATCTGTTTTACTTAGGGCCAGCTGCTGTGATCCCTTGTAACTGCTCATGACAACAACTGGACTGGTGTTTGACCAAACACCTGGCACTGTCATCTAGCCACGTGGACATGGACGTTACCCACCACAGTGGGTGTCTCAGTAGGGCTCGGCTGGAGCTGGACGCCACTCCCCGACCCTCAGTCCAGAGCCCGCACCTCAGTTGACATCAGCCTCACCACCCAGGTCATTTCAAGCTCAATTCAGGCCTTAGTTTCCCTCCCTGCCAGGGCCACCAAGAGGCCAGGTGAGGAGTGATGTCCCGTTCCCTGGTCTCGAGTGAGGAGGTAGAGAAAGGTTCAGAGGTGTGGCTGTGAGGAGCTGAGTGGGGAAGGCAGGTGAGGATGGGACTGGGTATTGCTGTGGACTCATCATTCCTGGGGTATGGAGCCGCCCCTAATTTCCCTGCTGTATCCCAAAGACAGGAGCTCTGGTGGCGTAGTGCCTAAGGCATTTGACTTCTAACCAGAAGGCTGGCAGTTCAAACCCACCAACCACTCCTCGGAAGAAAGGTTGGGCAATCTGCTTCTGTAGAGGTACCACCTCGGAAAACCCAGGAGGGGTCATTATGAGTGGGATCCACTCGAGAGCAGTGGGTTTTGTTTTTGTTTTTGTTTTGTTTTGTTTTTCAATCCCAAAGACATCCACCCAAATGTCTTAAGTGTTTTGTCCATTTGCATGTCTGCCTGGGAGGCTGATCTGCAGCAGTGGGAATGCCCAACACTGGGCAAGGGGGTCATTGGAGGGGCTGGGGCCATTTCTGGATGGGAGAGGCCTGTCAACATCACCTGTCACTAAAGGATGGGAGCTGGTGGCTCCAAGTGAGGAGATAATTAGGGTTTGGGGCTGTGGTTAACTCATTCTGCTCTTGGGTTTTCCAAGACGGAGAAAGGGACGTTCCAGCTCCCCAGATGTCCCTGCTTTTAGTCTCCCTGCCAACAGACTCCTCCCCTGCGGAGAGCGGAAGCTGTTGGTCCCACCAGGGTCTGCCTTCCCCTGGACAGGCTGCAGTGGCTCAAACGTCCGGCCCTGGGTGGCCTCCTGTCCTTGGGGAGAGAGCAGGCAGTGTTGAAATAATTGTTTATTCGTTGCAAGGGTCATGAATTTATAAAAATGTTAGGGTTAGGAGGGGTTCAGAGGGCAACAAGGTCTGCCTCAGCAGCGATGAAACCAGCAGACCGGACTTCAGACGGGTTTAGGGCCAGGGTGAAACACAGCCGTTGGTGTGAATGCAAACAGACCGTCGACTCATGGAAATTGTATTGATTGAGTCAAGACCTGGTTTCCCTGGGAGGAGCCGGGTGGCAGGGGGCTTCCCAAGGGGATTCCGGGGACCAGGAGGACCCCTTGTTGGAGTGGGAGATGGCGACACATCCAGTTGGGGAGGTTCTTATCGTCCAGCAGCCTGGCTCTGAGCAGATTTGCCGATGGCTTTTCCCAGTGACGCTTAGTAATCCCTTTTTCAAGTTTTATTAAGGTGTGATTTATGTGCCAGAAAACGTGCTCACTCTGCGTGATATCTGGTAAATTTCTTGCAGGGCAGCTATCGCTGTAGTCCCAGTTTAGAACATACCATTGCCCCAAAAAGGGGCTCTGTGCTCCATAGTTCCCCCCAGTCCTTCCCAGCGCCTGGCAACCACAGATCTGCTTTCTGCCTCTGTAGGTTTGCCTGTTCTGGCCCTTTCATGTAAACGGAGTCGTATGGTAGGTGGACTTTGCGTCTGGCTTCTTTCACTCGGCATGCTGTCTTCAGGGTCCAGCTGTGTGGTAGCACGTACGAAGGCTTCCTTCCTTCTTGTGGCTACACGACAGTCCACGGGTGGCTATACCACACTGTTTAGCGTTCATCTGCTGGGCCTGTTGGTTATTCCCATTCTGGGACTTCTAAAGATAATGCTATAAACACTGGTGTAAAAGTCTTGGTGTGGACATATGTCTCCAGTTCTCTTGGGAAGATTCCTAAGAGCGAAGCATTGTTGGGCCGTGTGGTAATCTATGTTTAACTTTTTAAGAAAATGCCAAACTATTTTTCTAAGCATTTGCACCATCAGCCATGCGTGGGGGTTCCGGTTCCTCCGCAACCTCGCCGACACTTGTTATTGTCTGTTGTCTCAGTTCTAGCACTGCTATAACAGAACTATCACAAGGGGGTGGCTTTCAAAAACAGATGTTTATTTTCTCACAGTTTGGGAGGCTAGAAGTCAAGGTGCTGGCTCTATGTGGCTTGAACAGCAGTCTTCTCCATCTTTGCTTCTTTCGTGGGGGTCATTTGTTCAATCTCTTACATCTCAAAAGAGTCCACGCAAGACACCCTGTATTGATCCTGTGTTAACGTAACAAAGACAGAATGTTCCCAGGTAGGACTCTAACGACAAGGCACAGAGGTGAGATCTACAGCATTCATATGTAGGGGACACACAGCATCCATAACGTCCGTCTGCTTTGTCCTGGCCATCTCAGTGAGCGTGAGGCAGTATCTCCCTGCAGCTTTAAGGTGTATTTCCCTAATGACTGTTGAGGAGCTCTGGTGGTGCAGTGGGTAAAGCATTTGGCTGCTAGCCACAAAGTCGGTGGTTCAAACCCACCAGCCACTCCCTGGAAGAAAGGTGTGGCAGGCTGCTTCTGTAAAGACCGACAGCCTTGGAGACCCCGTGGGCAGTTCTGCTGTGTCCTAGAGATTGCTGTGGGTCAGAACCAACTTGACGGCAGTGGGCTCCAGTGGCTGCTGATGCTGGGTCTCTAGTGTGTTATCAGCCACACGCACCTTCTGCGTTTACATCTTTTGCCTGTTTTTAAAATTGGATTATTCACCTTCTTACTGAGCTGTCAGAGTGACTTCTACATTCTGGATTCGTGTCCTCTGTTGGGTACTTTTTACAAGTCTCTTACTCCAGACTAGGCTTGCTGGCCTTGTCACCTTCCGGCTGGGGTCTCTGGAATTCTCCTTTTGATGAAGTCCGTTCTCCTGTTTCTGTTTCTGTTGCTGCCGTGTTGTCAGAAATCTCTCACTCAAGGCCACAAGGCTTGACAGCTGCGTTTTCTTCTCAGCATTTGCAGTTTCCGACCTGTGACCTGAAACTAGCCGTGGATCTGGTCAATGTTCTTAACCTCTCCCTGCCTCAGTTTCCCCACCTGTGAAACAGGGCTGGTGACAGCTCCTGCCCCAAAAGGTATTCCCATGAAGACGCGCCCGTGCTGTAACGTCCTCAGCCAGGGCCCTGGGCGGGAACGATGGCTAGTCGACAGACTCAAGTTCTTTCCTGCCGCCTGGCTCCTTTGGGCTCCGATTGCTCAGCCTGGCTCCCAGTCGTCCACAGGGAGAGAGATGGGCATCAAGGTTGTCCTCCCTAATCCGCAGGCCGCATCTGCCCGGGAGGCCGCTCCTCCAGCCCCCAGGGCTGTCAATGTGGACAGGAGCTGCAAGTGACGAGGGACCGACCCCATACTCTTCATGCAAACACACCTCCTTCCCTGGGGAGCCCCGGCCGAGCACAGTCCCCATCCTGAGGCCAGAGACATCTGGAAAAGTGTCCTCGGGTAACCACACAAGAGAGGGATCGTGAGGCCAGAAGTAACACCACCTCATCCTCCTCTCTGCTGGGTGTTGATTAAAGTCAGTGCACACACACCATACACACACACACAACGCATTCACATACACACAACACAGTCATGCACATAACACACACAACACACAAATACACATTAACACATTCACACATCACATACACATCACATACATATGATATTCATACACACAACATATTCACGCATGCGCCCCACTCTCACTACATATTCACTTACACACCACATACGCACTCAACGTGTCTTGCACACACACACCTGCGCACACCCTGCCCAGCAGGCTCTCCCTCCTGCCCCTCCCTCCTCCCATTTGTAAGAGCTACTCTCCGGGGACGGACCACCCCCTTGCTCCCACGAGGCGTCTTTGTCATGTGGTTGGATCCTTCTGCCCACACACGAAACCTCGGAATGTCTCCCTTGGCACTGTTGACCTTTGGGGCCGGGTCATTCTTCGTGGCTGGGACCATCCTGTGCAGTGTAGGGTGTTACGCGCCACCTGGGCCTCCACCCACTAAATGCCAGTGCCACTGGCCACACCCCCAGTTGTAGTGACTAGAAATGTCTTCAGACATGGGTAAAGTCCCCTGGGAGCTGGCAACCACTGCCACCCACTCTGAAGGGGGATCCCAGTAGAGTGGGAGAAAAATGTGGAACTAAACTCCAAATGATTAAAAAAAAAAAAAAAAAAGACCAGGCTTAGTGGTCTGATGGAGACTGGTGGAATCCCCAAGACTGGCCCTTAGACACCCTTCCGTGTGGAATTGAACTCACCGCCACGGCTCAGCTTTCAGCCAAAGGTGAGACAGGCCTGTGCAGTGAACACAGGGAAACATTGGCCCAGGGATAAAGGTCAGAAGGTGGGAAGGGATAGGAAAGAGAAGGAGTCGGGAACCGCAGGGAGGAAGAGAGCTGTTGCATTGTGGGGGTTGCATGCTGTGCCACAGTGCAAAGTGTGGATGACTCATTGAATGGAAAACCAGTTTGCTCTGTAAACCTTCATCCAAACTACAATAAAAAGTTAAAAACAATAAAAACCAAGTCCCCTGGGAGGCAAAATCACACCATTGGGAGCCCCCTGGGTCTGCTTAAAGACGTGTGTGACAGAAGCTGGGAGGTGGACCTGGGGCCCTTTTGGGTGGGTTGTGGGGGAAGATCTCGGGTTGCACTTAGAATGTGTCCCCACACTGAGGATCCCATGTGCACTTGTCTGCAGGGCCTTGCTCAGCCTTGCAGTGTTCCAGGAAGCTGCGTGTGTCCTCCCGTCCCTGCAGGTTGGCTGCGGAACCACTGTGACATCCGTGACCCATCAGACCCAGGGCCCCTGAGCCTCCAGCCTGGGCTCAGGCCACCTTCCCTTCAAAGTTGTATTCGCGAGTCCTCACAATGACAAGAAACCTGGAGCGAGCCGGGTGGCTGACGCTTTGCCCCGAAGATCAAGACTTTCTCCTGAGACAGAAGCAGAGACTCTCCCAGGTCAGAGAGAACGGCGAGGAGGCCGGTCGGAGGAGGCAGGAGCTCTGGCGGCCGGAGAACCAGCAGCTCCAGGGCTGGGCGGAGCAGTCCGGGGCCGAGTGGCAGGAGGTCCGGAAGCAGCGGGTCCGAGAGCTGGAGCAGCTGTACTTAGCACGTCTGCTGGGCGTGGGAGGCAGGCGCACGAAGGACAGCGAGCTGGCCGAGGAGGGGCCTGTCCAGAGAGCAGCCACCAGGCAGCAGAGGGCCAGGGAGAAGTACACAGACGCCCTTAGAGAGGAGAAGAGCTGCACGGAGTGGCTGGCCAAGGAGTCGGGGTGGCACGCCAAGTCTCGGAAGAAGCACGGTGCCTCCAATGTCACCGCTGTGACCCGGGGTCCCCCCAGCCCCCCTGAGAAGAGAAAAGGCAAGAGAAAGCCCTCCGTGAAACCTAGCAGGGACCACCGGCACCTGGCTCCCTGGGTGAACGGAGGGGTGGAGGTAGGCAGGTTACATCCGCTTCTTGGTGAAGTCAGATACCTGGAGAGGAGGAAGGGGGTCACCCAGGCCCAGAGGAAGCACCTGAGGAAGCAGCCAGCTTCTTCTCAAGGCCTGAAGCACAACTATCTGGATTCGAGTCCTGAGGGCGGGCGGAAGGAGCTGGGACAGCTGTGGCCAGTTAACTCGGCTTACAGTAGGGGAGCCGTGTCCGGGGCACCGCCGGGCAAGTCCGGGGACTTGAAGAGGTGGAAAAGGGAGCTGGAGAGTGCTGTGGAAGAGCTGTGTGACACCAACAGGAGGCTGAGGAATCACCTGCAATTGCATCGGGAACTGAGGCCCCAGCAGGAGCAGAGCCCCGACGAGGAGTGGGGATGCCCGGAGGGGTCAGAACCGAGAAGCAAGGCCCAGAGGCAGAAGAAGACCCCAGAGACAGAGACAGCGCCAGCCGGGGAACCCAGGGAGCCCGCGGAGGCCCACCAGACGCCTTCCAAAATCAACCTGAAGAAATTACTAGAGAGGATGGAGACCCAAAAATATCATAGGTTGGCTAAGTGTGTGTTTGAAAAGAAAAACAAAATGCCCAAAGCCAAGTTTAAGGACAAAGACAAAGCCCCATCATCCGAGACAGAAGTCTTTGTTGATGAAGGGAGGCCACTCTCGTCTGGCACAGAGTCTGACCCAGAGCCCCCTGAAACAGTCACCGCGGCAGAGGGCATCCACTCACCGCACCCTGGAGGGGAAGCCCACGGAGAGGACACGACAGAGACCAAGGTGGAGCAGAGGAGACGGCAGCACCCGGAGACGAGCCTGGACTCCCCCCACAGCCTTCAGCTGGGAGGAGAGGTGAGCGAGCCCAGGGAACCGCCGCCCACGCCCAGCCAGGGGCGGGTGGGAGGACAGGCGCCCAGCATCACTTCCGCCTTGGGCATCAACATCGCTGATGACGGCAGGCACGGCCAGGTGATGCGGGACCTTCAGGAGCAGATCCGAGAGCAGAACACGGTGCACAAGCAGTTTCTTGAAGATGCCAGGAAGCGCTTGCAGGAGTTTCAGAAGCTATGTTAAAAGCTAGCATCCCACCCGCAACAAATGCAGGTCAAAACTGCTGTGGGCTGTGAGGGCTGTGTCTGTGTCACCTACTCGGGGGCTGCTGGGCCTCTGAGTGTCCGTCCTCTTACCAAGAGCCCTGGGGGGCACTGCGTAAAGCGCTTAGCTGCGAACCCAACGGTCAGCCGTTCGAACCCGCCGGCCACTCTGCAGGAGAGAGATGTGGCACTCTGCTCCCATAAAGAGTCAGCCTTGCAGACTCGGGCAGTTCTACTCTGTCCGGCACGGTTGCTGTGAGTCGGAGTTGACTCAATGGCAGCGGGTTTTTATACTCTTACTACCCAGGTCCTGGGTGGCACAAACAGTGAAGTGCTCACCTACTAGCCTAGAGGTTGGCAGTTCGAACACAGACACAGGTGCCTGGTAAGGAAGCCCTGGTGATCTGCCTTGAAAATCCTGTGGAACCCGGTTCTGGTCTACACACATGGACTCACTGTGGGTCGGAACCAACTTCACAGCAGCTGGTTTGGGTTCTGGTTTGCTGTCCTCTTAACCATGCTTTGAGGCAAGTTCATTTGCAGGGATATACACATTCTTGCCTTTAAAATGAAGTGCCGTTTGGGAATGGCGTTGGGACTGGGCTGGAAACCCACATGGGGCACGGTGAGTGTGTATCCGGTGAGTGTGTGTCTATCCAGTGAGTGTGTGTCCAGTGTAACAGGCTGAGGGCTGTTTTCACCTGCCACAAGCACACACAGAGATGCCAGGTAAATTAAGCACTTCAGATGTTTTAGCCACGTAAACACTGGACCTCCCAGGGCATCCGAGGTCAGACGGGCACAATTTCAAGGTGACATCATTTGCTGCTTATCCCCTGGCTGCGATGTTAGCGGAGAGGTTTGACTAACAGCCCTCTTGGCCTTTCAAACCACAGACCCCAGCATCACTTAGAGAGCACATTAGTGTAACACAGGAGCCCTGGGTAGTGCCCAACTACTGACCGAAGGTTGGCGGTTCAAACCCCCCCGAGGCACCTGTGAAGACTGGCCTGCGATCTGCTCCCAGAGGTCACAGCCTTGACAGCCCTATGGAGCAGTTCTACTCTGCACACGTGGGGCCGCCAGGAGTCAGGATCGACTTGACAGTAACATTAGGACGCAAGACGGAGAACAAAGAAAGTAGTTCCAACAACCTTGCCCTGCCGGGTGGCTCCCTGTGGGGCTGGGAATTGTGGGGAGGGGGCCTGAGTGTCTGGCCAGGGTCTCATCCCCAGCTCTACCTCCATAGCCATGGAGACCCCCACTGGATGGGTTTTCATCTGCCTGTTGCATTCATGGAGACTGGGACAGGGTCAACAATCTTTCTCTGTAAAGGGCCAAGGAAATATTTTCCAGTTTGCCAGCCATACAGTCTCTGGCAATTACTCAACTCTGCCCTCATAACTCGAAAGCACCCACAGACAATACTCAGTGAGTGGGCATAGCTGGGTGCCAATAAAACTTTATTTACAAAAGCAGGTGATGGACTGGTTTGGTCCACGGGCTCTGGTTTGCTGAGCCCGGACTGGACATTAAGGAGATGATGGGCTTGAACCTGGCTCTCTGGCTCCCTCCTCCCTCCCCACTCCTCCCTCCCCTCTCACTGTCTCCCTCTTTTCCTCCCTCCCTTCCAGAGACCACGGGGTGCATCCCATCTTTGGCTATGACACACATCACTGATCTGTGACTGGCCTTTTCCGCCTGTATGTACTTTGTAGGGAATCTCTGAGTGAGGCACATGGTTGAGGTGCTTGGCTGATAATCAAAAGGTGGCGGGTTCTAGTCTAGCCAGACTAGAAGGAGGAGGAGAGGCCTGGCAATCTAAATCTCGGCCCCTAGAAACCCTGTGGAGCACAGTGCTGCTCTGACCTGCACGGGGTCGCCAGGAGTCGCATCGGCTGACGGAGGCCGGTCGAGCTTTGTGGGATGCATAATGAACAAGTGTGACACCGCCACCCAAGCCCAAGGCAAGATGCTGACCATCTGCTGCCAGCCGCCGACTACCTGGGTGCTCCTTCCCTGCTCTGCACCCCTGCCTCCTCAGACACATGCCTGCTGCCCTTGGAGGCCAGCTTGGCCTTCTGTCACATTTATGTCTGCTAAGGAGTATACTGCTTAGTTTGCTTGGTTTTGAACTTCATAAAAAGGATATCATATTATGTGTTGTCTTTCAGAATTTTTTTTTTTTTTTTTTTTTTTTTTTTTTTTAATAATATATTTTTTTTTTTTTTTTTTTTTTTTTTTTTTTTTTTTTTTTTTTTTGACTCAGTGTAGTTCCTGACATCCATCCATGTTGCATAGAAGGGCCGTTTCTTGATTTTCACTGCAACGTGATGGCCTCGTGTGACGGCTGGATTCTCATTTCCAGGGCCATAGCTTCTTCTCGATTTTGTGCCTGTTCCCAAAAGGGAGCTATGTTCCCAATGCATTTGGCTCTAAAAGTCGAGCATCAGTGAGTCAGCTCTTTGGAAGTCTTCCCACCATACCTGTGACGCAGGTGCGCGACGCAGGTGTGGGACGCATGTGTGGGAAGGATTCCTATTACTCCTTTTCTTTGCATTTTTACCTTTTTCCCTGGAAAAGGTGAAGCTGATCTCACAGTGTTTCTCATTCAACAAATACTTACTGAGCGCCTCTGTGTGCCAGGGACTATCCTTGTCGCTGTACAGAAACAGAACAGATCACCTGAGAATCATGGGATGTTATGGACGGAATTGTGTCCCCCAAAAAGCATGGGCTGTAAATCTCAACACCTATACCTGTGGGAAAGGGGCTGTGGTGTGCAGAGCCTGAGGGATTTGACTGCTAACCTGAAGGCTGGCAGTTCAAACCCACCAGCCGCTCCTGGAAGGAAGATGAGGCCATCTGCTTCTGTTTCCTGCTTTGGAAACCCAGTGGAGCAGAAATCGGCTGGATGGCCGTGGGTTTTGTTGTTGTTGTAATACCTGTGGGTATGATCTCATTGGGGAGTGGGTGGGTCTTCTTGGTTAAGTTCATGGAGTGTCAGGTGTGTCCTCAGTCAATCTCTTTGGAGATAGAAGAGCAGGTTCAGCCAGGATGCCAGACAGAAAGGAAGACACAGAGCACATTGTCACCAAGCAGAAATGAGACAAGGAGCTTCCCTCAGGTGGAACAGAGAAAGAAAGGGCCTTCCCCTTGAGCCCCCACCGGAACTTGGGCCTGTAGCCCCCTAAACTCTGAGAAGGTGATTTCTGGTGTTAAAGCCACCCCCTTGCGGTGTTTCTCTCATAGCAGCACCGGAGAGGGAAGACAGGGCCCTCCCATCTTAGCGGAGGACACAGATCCCAGCCGAGTGTCTTTGTGTCCTACGGCCGCTATCATCCACGTGCCAGGAGTGGGCGCCTGTGACGCTTCCTCACAGTTCAGGAGGCCGGGAGGCCGGGTTCAGGGCGTGGTTTTTAGGGAAGGCCCTGCCGTGCCGTGTCCGTTTCAGCTCCTGGGAGCTGGCAGGCAGCCCTGGGCCTTCTGGCCTTGTGGACACGTCTCTCTGTGATGTCAGCCTCTCCCCCCCACACACACACCCTGCTTTCTTTATAAACAGAAGGGGGTGGATTTGGAACGCCCCGTGCATGGGGCCCCATGAGCAATCGGAGTGCACTCAACAACCCCCGTTTTGGTTTTTTGGTTTTCTACTTGGGAAGGATTTAATCGAGGAGCTCTGCTGGCATAAGCACTGAGCTGCTAACCACAAGGTCAGCGGTTCAAACCCACCAGCCGCCCCATGAGAGAACGATGTGGCAGTCTGCTTCCACAGGTCTAGGGGTTGAGATTCGCACACACATTTACAGGAGGGGTACACTTCAGTCCATAACGCTAAGTAAAATGTGTCAGGTGGTGGTGTGTGGGAGGCATGATGAGGTGTGAGGTCACTGTCCCCATGTGCGGGGCCCTGGGAAGGCCAGCAGCCACCAAACACTGCTCGTGTGGGTGGGGGCGGGGCAGCCATGCATGTCTGTGGTTCTTCGTGTTGACAGCGTTGGTACAGAGCCTTCGCCTGCCCCATCATCCTGGCATGGGTCTCTGCCACCTGCTTCTGCCTTTCCACTGGAGGCCAAGTCCTCACGAGGAGTTTACCCCACTGTGTTTGCCTTCCGTCATCTGCCTCTGGAATGTCACAGGTTAGGGTCACAAAGCCAGTCAACACTTGCTGCAAGCCCGGCAGATTAGGAAAGAAATCCTGGGGTCAGGAGGGCTGTCATTTCTGAGACAGATACAGATTGCTTGGGGCAGGGGGCATTGTGCTGTGCTTGGGACCCGGCCCAGTACCTGCCATCCAGGTGGGCGCACCGTTGCAGGACCCGGGCAGTCACCTGAAGCACTGCTCTCTGTCACCGTGCCACTGAGTCTGAGGGTAGAGGGGGCACAGTGGGGATCACTGGGTTTGAAGCCGGGCCACCGTGGGACAGAGACATCAGGTGACTGAGGTCTTCCCGAGTCAGCCAGGAAGCCACTGTCTAATGAATGGACGAATCTCCTTTGTGGGTGCTTTTGGTTTCCACTTTTGGAGGTAGAATTTGTAGCTGTGGGTTTGTTTTAGATGAGGGATCGCCCTTCTTGGCCAAACTAGAGCTAAAAGTAGGTGTGGGAACCAGCAGCAAGATGTGAGGGTGACTCAGCTTTCCCTGCGGTCACACCTCCACCGGCGTCTCGAAACGAGACCCCTGCCCACTGGGGTATTTCTTTGCCTGGGCTGGTGGTGTGTGCGGTAAAGCAGCCCACCAGGGTACCCCCCCACACCATGATTCCCTGTGGGGTTTTTTTATTTTTCATTTTTATTGTGATTTGGGTGAAAGTTTACAGAGCAGATTCATTTTCCATACAGCAGCTCACATACACTTTGTCTCATGACATTGACTGTAATCTCCCACAATGCAGCAGCTCCCCTCCTCCACGTCCTCCCCATAGTTACCTCCTCCCTATGTCCTTCCCTCCTTGCACTCCTGCCCCCCCCAGCTGTCT